AAATTGAGGAATTCTCATCATGGATGATGAATGAAAGCTCTCAAAATTTCTCAAAGTCCAGATAATATATCTAGATCTTGCCTGAGATAGATCAGTGAAACTACAGCAATAAGCACTTATCCTCATTTCCACTGCTGTGTGGCAGGTTCCAAACTGGGCAAGTTTTACTGTTCTCAGTTCTATGGGACAGTAATGCTCAGTAGTATCACATCATCTTACAGTCAGTCCTTCATTATCCGACAGAGAGAAGAATATGGATGGATGGTATTTTATCCCAAGGAACAGTCACTAGGAGCAGTACACATTTGCCACATTACTGACTAACCACTGGCAGTTTCAGCCAGTCAGTGCTGTGGTGAAAAGTGCTGTGCTGTTTGCTTAGGATCCAGTTTCATAATGCATGCTCCAGACAAATCTTTCTGTTGATTTTCTAGACACTGAAACACTGCAGTATGACAGCAGTAAAGTTATAAGAGTCCACATGAAAGTGGGAAATAGTAAAATACCTCAACACAGAGAGCTATTTGCCCTAACTTGATTATTCTCAGGAACACATAAAAACATATTTCCTCTACTCTGCTGGCTGTATGTAGATGATGATATTATTTCCATGAAATGCAGTCAAAATGTTAGCACACCTAACAATGAGGGTGGAAAAATGACAGATATTTTTGTTTCCCATGAAGATTTGCATATTTTGCATACAAAATAATTCCAAAGGGGTAAAAAAAGCCTGTAAAATAGAATCATAGAATAGAAAAGAATTATAGAAAAACTTGGGTTGGAAGACACAATTAAAGGTCATCTAGTCCAACCTCCCTTCAGTGAGCAGGGACATCTTCAACTAGATCAGGTTGTTCAGAGCCCCATCCAACATGACCTTGAATGTTTCCAGGCATGGGGCATCTACCAACTCTATGGGCAACCTCTGCCAGTGTTTCACTACACTCATCATAAAAAATTTCTTCTTTATATCTACTCTGAATCTACCTTCTTTTAGGGGTAAAACCATCACCCCTTGTCCTATCGCTACAGTCCTTGTTAAAAGGTCTGTCCCCATCTTTCCTGTAAGCCCCTTCAAGTATTGAAAGGCCGCTCTAAGGTCTCCCCAGAGCCTTCTCCTCTCCAGGCTGAACAAATCCAACTCCCCTAGCCTGTCCTCACAGGAGAGGGGTTCCAGCCCTCTGATCATCTTCGTGGCCTCCTCTGGACCCACTCCAACAGGCCCATGTCTTTCCTCTACTGGAACTCCAGAGCTGGACCCAGCACTGCAGAGGGGGTATCACGAGAGTGGAGTAGAGCACAATTATCCCCTCCCTCGACCTGCTGGCCACACCTCTCTTGATGCAGCGCAGGACACACTTGGCTTTCTGGACTGCGAGCACACATTGCTGGCTCATGTCCAGCTTTTCATCCACCATTACTCCCAAGTCGTTCTCCCCAGGGCTGCTCTCAATCCCTTCATCCCCCAGCCTGTATTGATACTGGGAGTTGCCCGGTCTCATGTGCAGGACCTTGCACTTGACCTTGTTGAACCCCACAGGGTTCACATGGGCCCACTTCCTGAGCTTGTCCAGGTCCCTCTGGTTGGCATCCTGTCCCTCAGGTGTGTCACCACACCACTCAGCCTGGTGTCATCTGCAAATGTGCTGAGGGTGCGCTCAATCCCACTGTCCATCAGAGCCAAGACAGAAGTCCTATTCAGTGACAGAGGTATTTTATTATGATATCTGGAAGTGCTTATGTATACCCAGGAAACAATGTTCTCCCAGTATTTGATTTTCTTAAGATGTCTAACAAATACTTCTGGGGAAAATTTTGTGATAACTGGTACTAAGTTATTTTTCATCATTGCATCTTACGCATTTGAGACTGGTGACGCTACTATATCATGCATAAAAGGATACTGCTTACCTCATAAACACATATCAGGAGATACCTCATTGTCTAAGTACTAGTTTGGTCAACTATATAAACTAACCTGTTGAAGGTGAAGGTGTTTCTGGTGTGGTAGTAGTGCTTTCATATCCTGTTGTGTAAAGGTAGAAGAGGTTAAGTGTGTGAATGAAAGCATATTAAAATATTTCAAATAAGACAAATTACAGATTGGGTTCAAAGGATTGTGTTAATTAGTGAGATATTACTGAAAATGCTTTACATTATATATTTAAGTGGTAAACTTCACATCAAAGGACTTAAACTGATAAAGAAATCAATATATCTCATAATAATAATAATGAACATGAGGTTTTGCTACCTTTCTCATGATTTTTATGCTTAAGAGCACTTCACTTTTCAGGGATAATGGAAACATGTTTTCTGTCTGTAAATGAGATCACTAGCTGAGATCATGGTTATACAAGTTAGAATTCTGTAATATGAAAAAAATTGTCCTTGAATGTTTTTACATCTGCATGAAAATCCAAAATGTGCAACTAGAGTCTATAAAAAAACCAAATATTTAATAAAATAGATTTTCATAGAAGTAAACCATATGATAAAAAACCTGAAGTTAAAATAACTAAATTATATATGTTTTTTTAAAAAAGCCCTCTAAAAAGATATTTACTAAGTAAATTCTGTTACCTAGGTCTGAGCCTCTTCTATATATTCTAATTTTTTTAAATGAAAGCTGTTGAATGTATCCGAGACCCACAGCTCTGCTGGGGCAGGCCCTCATGCAGATCACAACACCAATACACTTTCAGAAAGACCCACGTTTACCATGAATGTAACTTTTCATGTTGCTAACTCAAATCAGTCAGGGTCATCCAGCTTCTGTATTATAGCCTTCCCTACCTTATTTTTTTTTTTTAAATTAGTTATTTTCATTTCTTTATTAGTCAGCTGAAGTTTTATATACTAACAGTACAGTAATGGGGTTACGTTGAAGGAAAGTTATGTTTGGATGAACACTCATTAATTGAGAGGTACTAGGAAAAATACCTTCTCTGAGAAAACACATATGTTTTAGTTTTGTTTTCCAATTACTGTAGAGAAAGAAAATGAGTATATAGGTTACTGCTTACCACATGGCATGCATCCTCCCATCTCATGGTCAAAGTATTCATCATGAGAGCAGTTGTAACAGCCTGAAGAAAGGGGAACAGTTTGTTTTTTATTTCTCAGAGAAGAGCATTTAATTTGTACTATATATAATCTAATATCTTACATTTTTGTTACTAAAAAATTGTATTGATTGCAACATCATCTATTCAGGTAAGCATTTCCAATGATATCCTCGGAAGAAGGGTCTGTCTATGTAGTAATTTTTTTGGTTTCTCCAACTATATCTATTTGTCTAATTAAAATATTAACTCCTAATTCTTACCTAAGTACAGCATATTCTTTTGATCTAGTGAACTGATTATGTATTTAAGCAGTAGTAGTAAGGTAAAGATCATTACAACTGCTTCAAAGATGGCATCAATTGGAATACCATTATTTAACTGTGATATGACTGATCTAAAAAACACCATTTAAAAAATGACTATGTTTCTGTTTCCAGGTTTACACTACTACAGCTTATTACCTTCAATGTTGACATATTTGTAGTTTTGATTTGGACAATTACAAGGCCTGTAATGCCAGGTGCAGTTGTCGTTGTTGTAGTCATAGGAATAAGCATCACCACTTCCTGTATTTTTATGAGAATTGTAATACTCACAATAGACAGCTAAAAAAAAAAGTAAAAGCAAGAGAGAAATCAGAATTTTTCAAATTAATGGCAAAAGACTAAATTGTCAAAGGACTAAAGGGAGGACAAAAAAAACGTTTGAAAAAAATTTGTCACTGAATTACTGGCTTCTGATGTAAATTGAAATTTACACTCCAGTGAAGTCAGTTTCTTTTTTTGCAAGTGCACTATGCAGACATTTCCACAACTTTTAATGCATAAAATAGTGAAATGTTGAAAAGAAACCATCAAAGATGACAACTCTAGCATTGATTTATAACACACTCTTTTTTCCTCCATATACAGTGTTCTGAAACACCTTGATATGTTTTTCCTGTTTTACAGTGTTCTAGCCAACACAGCTGTCTTTATTTCCTTGACATCTACACAGATGCTGATTTCATCACAGCTAAAATGAAACATTTTTTTTAAAAAATCATACTCTTTCTGCTGACAAACTGACAGTTCACTATTCAGAGGTGACAGAGGAAAGAGTCTGCCTTTTATGACCACATTATTTGTTCTCTCCATGGCAAAAAGAGATATAATATTTTGATTAATTTAGCACAGATGAAAACTACAGATTTCAAAATCCATGTGACTGAAGCCAACTCTTTCTCCATAAAGAAAATATAACTTACGAAATGCTTATTAAGAAATTACCTATGTTGCCATATTAATATACTCACAATAATAATAACAATAATAATAATAATAATAATCATAATCATCATCATCTCTTAAACCTGTTTAAAGAGAGCTTAAATAAACTTACGACAGAACTCAGGGGTCCTCCAATCAATGCAGATCCCTTTATCTAAGCATGCCATAGCATATACTGCAATAGCATCGCACATGCATTCACAGTCCCCTCCAATGTCACAACCACAAGAGTCTCGAACACAGGCCTCATAATAGGGCATACGATTCACCTGCATTGGAAAATGAAGTAATGAATTTTCTAGGATTATTTGTGCCTATTTGTTAAGCAGGTGTTTTTCCCTGGGCTAAACAATACGTGTTCCATTAAGTGAGAGTGACTAGGATTTCCTCTGAACGCTTACCAAAGGAATTACAATCCCATTTCATACAAATCTTTTTATCAAGAACGTAATTGTCTCCACATCAACAACAGAAACTGATGATGTTTTGCTAGATATGTATTTCTAAATTCATACTAGTCCTGAACATATTATGTATAGTCATCTAAAAACACTCCAAACTCCCACTTCCGTTCAGGCACGTGTCTAAGTTCATCAGCTGTACACCCTTCAGAGATCTACATGAGCACTGCAGCATTATCATCATTTCTCACTTGTTTTCACCTCCTGAAAACAGTGATTTTCCTTCAGAAGGCCTGGTTCTGAAGAACTTTGAGATCTTTTCATTTCTACAAAGTGGACAATTTAAAACAAATAGAAAAGTTGATGCTTGCTCTTGGGCTGATCTGCATCTTCTAAGTAATGCTGTTGACTTACTGTTGAGAACAAGGCTTTTCTTAACGTTTGGTTTTCTAACAAAGGCTAAATAGTTTCAAAAGAGTAAACAGTGCATTGATCAGTATCCGGCAACATCAACAGACTGACTAATTTCTGATAGTTGTCTTCATTCGTTTCTCACTTTGATATTCTTAACTAATCAGTTAATGTCATACTTAGCTTTTATGCTTAAAAAAAGGGCTGGTGAAGTACAAATAAAAAAGGATGAAGATTAATAACATAAATGAGAGCCATAAAACATTTTTTATATGTTTTATTAAAACATTTTGGGGAAGAGAAAATCAAGTGTGAGCATTTTATAAGAATACAGATTATGTCTATAAAAAAAAAGAAGGCCAAATCAATTCTTACCTTACTGTGACAAGCAGAAAAGACTTGACTGTTGATGACGGCACATGTCTTTTCCGCCCATGCTTTACGATAAGGGTTCTTGCTACAGGGGTCCACTACAAAGTAGACATCCCCACAGAGAGGATTCTCCTTCCAAGAATTGACAAATTCCAATTCATTTGATGCCACATACTTGCTTCGAGTTTCAAAATCATCTTTCATATTGCCATTATAGTTCCCACACAAACCACATATAGTTTCCTAGATTAAATGAAAGCAGAAATGTCAGTTCAGCAAGTGACAATTACTCGCTTTCCCTTTTGATTATTGCATTTCCTGTGCTTTAGTAGTGAATGTGATCTACAAATACTCTCCCATACATTCTTAGCATTTTCTGCATGAGGTTCTGTTCATCAGTGGATGAATGTGTTTCTTCTCTAAAATGTAAACTGTCATGTTTTAGAGATCAAATTAGACCATGCAGTTGTATAAAATAGAAGCACTTAGCTGAATGCAGTAGGGTAAGCACTGAAAAATCAGCCTCTAAGGAAAATCTCTGCTGTTTTGAAGATAATGATGGAAATTAATTGCTCGTAGCATCTCTGAAAACCTTTGCCATCATAGAGAGTCAAGGCAACCATCATCAAATGTGCCGTTCAATCTGAATTGAAGGAAAGGTTACTGAGGAAGTTATTCTGCAATACCTGTGTTTCTCTAGAGATCTTGATGAAGAAGTTCATGTGCTTATTCCAGATGAGGGTCATGTTGTATTTTCCCGGGATAATGATATCAAACATCAGGTGAAGGGCATTCTTTTTCACATGATATTGTACTCCAGGATTTTTCCCAGAAATAGCAAAGGTTTCATCTCGCAGTATGAATGTCAAATTCTGGAAGAAAATTTAGCTGGATGTTATAACTTGTCAAGTTTCAGTATTTTCCTTACACTGTGTCACATTGCTGAAGATCAGATGCTGTGCTATTACAGACTGTCTTGACATTCCCACTTATCTTTGAAGAGTCATGACAGTCAGGTGAAGCCACTGGTGAATGGAAAAAGGGAAATACTGCAGGCATTTTTAAAAAGGGGAGAAAGGAGGATCCTAGGAACTGCCAGCCTGTCAGCCTCACCTCTGTGCCTGGGAAGACCATGGAATAGATCTGCCTAGAAGCTGTGCCAAGGCACCTGGAGGACAGGGAGGTGATTCGAGGCAGTCAGTCTGGCTTCACCAAGGGCAAGTCTTGCCTGACCAACCTATCAGCCTTCAACAGTGGAATGACTACATCAGTGGATGAGGGAAGAGCTGTGGATGTCATCTATCTGGAGTTCTCTAAGGCCTTTGACACAGTCCCCACACAACATTTTCTGTAAATTGGAGAGATATGGATTTGATGCACGGATTATTTGGTAGATAAGGAATTGGCTGGATGGTTCCCTTCAGAGAGTAGTGGTTGCAGCTCAAAGTATGGATGGAGATCAGTGATGAGTGCTGTCCCTCAGGGGTCTGTACTGGGACCAGTGCTGTTTAATATCTTCATCAATGACACGGACAGTGGGATTGAGCACACCCTCAGCACATTTGCAGATGACACCAGGCTGAGTGGTGTGGTGACACACCTGAGGGACAGGATGCCAACCAGAGGGACCTGGACAAGCTCAGGAAGTGGGCCCATGTGAACCCTGTGGGGTTCAACAAGGTCAGGTGCAAGGTCCTGCACATGAGACCGGGCAACTCCCAGTATCAATACAGGCTGGGGGATGAAGGGATTGAGAGCAGCCCTGGGGAGAACGACTTGGGAGTAATGGTGGATGAAAAGCTGGACATGAGCCAGCAATGTGTGCTCGCAGTCCAGAAAGCCAAGTGTGTCCTGCGCTGCATCAAGAGAAGTGTGGCCGGCAGGTTGAGGGAGGGGATAATTGTGCTCTACTCCACTCTCTGCAGTACTGGGTCCAGCGCTGGAGTCCTCAGTAGAGGAAAGACATGGGCCTGTTGGAGTGGGTCCAGAGGAGGCCACGAAGATGATCAGAGGGCTGGAACCCCTCTCCTGTGAGGACAGGCTAGGGGAGTTGGATTTGTTCAGCCTGGAGAGGAGAAGGCTCTGGGGAGACCTTAGAGCGGCCTTTCAATACTTGAAGGGGCTTACAGGAAAGATGGGGACAGACCTTTTAACAAGGACTGTAGCGATAGGACAAGGGGTGATGGTTTTACCCCTAAAAGAAGGTAGATTCAGAGTAGATATAAAGAAGAAATTTTTTATGATGAGTGTAGTGAAACACTGGCAGAGGTTGCCCATAGAGTTGGTAGATGCCCCATGCCTGGAAACATTCAAGGCCAGGTTGGATGGGGCTCTGAACAACCTGATCTAGTTGAAGATGTCCCTGCTCACTGAAGGGAGGTTGGACTAGATGACCTTTAATTGTGTCTTCCAACCCAAGTTTTTCTATAATTCTTTTCTATTCTATGATTCTATTTTACAGGCTTTTTTTACCCCTTTGGAATTATTTTGTATGCAAAATATGCAAATCTTCATGGGAAACAAAAATATCTGTCATTTTTCCACCCTCATTGTTAGGTGTGCTAACATTTTGACTGCATTTCATGGAAATAATATCATCATCTACATACAGCCAGCAGAGTAGAGGAAATATGTTTTTATGTGTTCCTGAGAATAATCAAGTTAGGGCAAATAGCTCTCTGTGTTGAGGTATTTTACTATTTCCCACTTTCATGTGGACTCTTATAACTTTACTGCTGTCATACTGCAGTGTTTCAGTGTCTAGAAAATCAACAGAAAGATTTGTCTGGAGCATGCATTATGAAACTGGATCCTAAGCAAACAGCACAGCACTTTTCACCACAGCACTGACTGGCTGAAACTGCCAGTGGTTAGTCAGTAATGTGGCAAATGTGTACTGCTCCTAGTGACTGTTCCTTGGGATAAAATACCATCCATCCATATTCTTCTCTCTGTCGGATAATGAAGGACTGACTGTAAGATGATGTGATACTACTGAGCATTACTGTCCCATAGAACTGAGAACAGTAAAATTTGCCCAGTTTGGAACCTGCCACACAGCAGTGGAAATGAGGATAAGTGCTTATTGCTGTAGTTTCACTGATCTATCTCAGGCAAGATCTAGATATATTATCTGGACTTTGAGAAATTTTGAGAGCTTTCATTCATCATCCATGATGAGAATTCCTCAATTTTATACTACTGTTTTCCTGAGTTTGGTAGAGTGGGGAAATCACTATCTTTTGACTGAGTAATTCACTGCTGAGTCAGTAAAGTTCAAATTTTTTTTGGCTTCTATGTAGGCAAGAAGTTCAGGGACTGAAACATTGAGATGAGGATTGAAAAAAAAAAAAAAGATGGCAATTCCTACTAAAACTGATGCTCTAGGTTTAGCGCATAATTTCGCTTGCAAAACATTACTTCAAAGACACAGCTAAATCTTCCAAAAGGGAAGCAGATAGGGGCTTAAAATAGCTATTCAGTTGGATAACAGCAGAATAAACATCTTACCCCAAGGTAAATGCTGATGGATCTGGAGCATGTAACCCCTGATTTCCCACAGATGACATTCTCAGTAACAATTTTGAAAGAGGAAAAAGGTCTATTAACACTGCAGCCATCCTAAAAAAAAACCAAAACAAATCACAAAAAGCACAAAACCCCAGTAGAGTCTGTCTGGAGTCTTCCAACTCAAAACATAAAAGCATAAAAAAGTAAAGAAAGCTTAAACATGTCATGACTTTGTACCTGTTTTGGAAGGTCATGACCTCTGATTTGGTAGTCAAACTGATAACAGTTCTCTAAAAGATATAGTTGGCTGGTACAGAATACATACATATCATGACAACTTAAATATGTTATTAAATCTAAAATTGGCTGTAACTGTGTGAAAAAAAAAGGGTTTTGAGAAGTGAAGTCTTTTCATTTTAAGTAATGAAATAAACAGAAAATATAAAAACACATAAAGCATTTATAAAGATTCAAATTGCTCTATTAGTTGTAAATGCATGCAAGGATGTTTTCATTAGTCATTTAAATCAAGCTATTTCTTCATCTTAAGAGACTGCCAAAATAAGCAGTAAGAGACAGATTACCATAGCTAATATGTATTCACAGTTGCCATCAAACACAAAACGCTGTCCATCAAAAGTGGTGATGTGGCCTTCTCCATACAGATTACATGTTGAGGAACACTTCGATTTCTGAACACATTTCCATTTGCCTTTAGTGCAAGTGCTGGGAGTGAGAAGAGAAACCATACTGATATTTCAAAGAAATGCCACCTTAACCCATTTCTTTTTCTATAGATATACCTTTACAGATAAGATGTTCATTTAATTGACTTGTGTACACGGTGACCAAGTCACAGTTAAAATAAGAACCATAACTAAAAGTTATGGACTGACTAGAAAATCGATTCATGATAAAGAAGAAATCTTAAGTAGTTTTTCCTTTCTTTTTTCAAGAAAAGAAAGACTATAAAACCCATTTATTTTTGCTCTTAATGAGAACAGATGTCACTGTTTTATGTAGTTTGGGTGGTGGTGGTTTTTTAATACTAGATTAGTTACTGGAAAGAGAATAAGGTAATTTGAGAATGTTGCTGAAGAGATGGAAGGAATCTTTTTTGGGGGGGTTGCTTTTATCTACGATTATCTTTTCATCTTTATTTAGGTGGAGCTGTTAACCCTTGACCTTATGTAGTTTCCAGTTACAGCCCCTACTGGATGCCCTTATGCCTGGATATGCATATGGCAGAAATTATCTCTGAAGCCAATACCACGACTCTTTTATCTGTACATATATACTGTCAAATGTTAAGCTTCTCTTTATCACCTCTGTGCTTTGTATTCCTTCTGTTCAGCTGTTGCTGTTTCCTACTCTCCTATCAACTAAACGCTTTTGTTACATAGATGTACAGTTCAGTGAAACAGAGCTTCCACTATAGAAAACTGTGTGATTCTTACCAGATCTCACATTCTGTTTGGATCTGTTCACCTTTTCCGTAAGCAAGACCACCATATTCACATGGACACTCCTCAGCTGGAACACACCTGCCATCGAGATTTTCATAGAGCCCATCAGCACAGACACAGCCTGATTCACATTTAGTGGGTATCTGGTAAAGATCAACAGATTGCAAAATGAGAAGAAACGTGAGATATTTTATCTTTTATCTGAATGGTGTCAAGAGTCAGCCTGTACTAAGTTCTAGTTTAGACTTGATTTCAGTTTTGTGATATTTCCCTGTACTAATATCTAGTCAGCTGAACTAGTTTCGCTAAAGTTTTAAGATGTATCTGTTGTGTGAGATAGTAAACATCAGGAAAAATTATCTTTCGTTGCTACCAATCTTTCAGACAGAGGACAACAGAAGTTTCTTTATAAAGGAAGCCTATTACAATTCTTCCAATTAGTCTGTTTCCTTAATATAAACACATAAGAAAACCCTGTCAGGACAGACCAGTCCACTTGGCCTAGGTCTCCTGCATCCTGGGACCATCAGCAACAGATGGGGAAGAATAAGCATAAATGACATGTTCTGTCATTTTCCAGTGACATGTAGCTTATGGAGTACCTGTGCCGGAGGCGAGAGCCATGTAGTTAAGAATTCTTAATGGATTCTTATTCTAGACATTTAATATAATTTAATTCATTAATTCAGGCAGTTTAATTACTTTAATCACTTCTTGAATATACGTAATGTTTTTGTATCCACAGTCTGTGAAAGGAAATCTGTTTAGCTGTATCATGTTAGAACAAATATCTCCTTTCTTTTCACTAGAAGGAACATCGCCAAGTTCTAAGTAACAACTAGAACATTCTTCTTCTCTCAGGAGGATAAATATTCCAGAGCTGTGAAACTTGAAACTCACACATTCAATTCCAGTAGCCAACATTTGACAGGTAGGGGCACATGCAGCTCCATACTTGTTTTCTAAACTGTCAGAACATGACACATACTTCTTAGGAGCTTTGCAGCTTTCTAGGAAAAAGGAATAAAAACAAACATTGGAGAAATCGTGAGGTAGCAATTTTGCAACACAGAGGAAAAGAATATGTTTCTAAGTAAACCACATCAGACCCATACCTGCAGGATTTTGAGGTTTGCCTGTGCAACTTAGCCTCCCATTAACACAGTAGCTAGGGGTAAAAAAAAAATAAATTAAAAAAAATCAATTAAATTCTCTCCTAAGAAAGAAGTTTTAATTTTTTGCAAAATGACTTCATGTTTCTCATAATTGGAAATGTTTCATTTATATTATTAGCCCCTCCCCATCCTTCAAAATGGAACGTGAGTCAACTTGTCTCTAGTTCTTGTAGCGCAGAATAACATCAGTTTTGAAAGTGAATAGTAGGCCATTCACTATTATGATTACCCACTAGATAATTCCTGAGGTTTGTAGAGGTTTGTATATAGCTGTCCAGATGCTGTTGACAAAACCTCCTACTAGAAATCAGATCTCACTTGTTATTTTCTAATTTTTTCCTTAACTTTTCCAAGCCTAAGGTAAGTGAAATGCTTTTTGTCCATTAAAAAAATGTTTGCATTTTAGGAAAGGGTAAAAAAAAAGATGTCTTAAAAAATAAACCTTTGCTCTTAAAAGTAAAGGACACTATACTGCTTTTGGCTGGAATGGAGTTAATTTTCTTCTTAGCAGCCTGATGGTGCTATGTTTTTGATTTGTGTCCGAATCAGTGTTGATAAAATGATGTTATTTTAGCTATTGGTGGACATTGTCAAAGCCTTCTCTGCTTCTCATGCTGTCCCGCCAATGAGCAGGCTGGGAGTGCACCAGCTGGGAGGGGACACAGCCAGGACAGCTGACCCAAACTGACCAAAGAGATATTCCATACTATATAACATCATGCTCAGCAATAAAAGCTCAGGTGGAGAAGGAGGAAGGAGGGATATTCAGAGTTACGGTGCTTGTCTTCCCAAGTAACCAATATGCATGCCAAATTCATGCTTTCCGGGAAATGTCTAAGCATCTGCCCGCTGATGGGTGGTAGCGAATTAATTCCTTACTTAGCTTTGATTGTGCATGGCGCTTTGCTTATTAAATAACCATATTTTTGCTTATTATCAACAAAGAAAGTTATTAAACTGTCTTGATCTCAATGCAGAAGTTTTCTTGCTTTCGCCCTTCTGATTCTCTTCTGCACCTGGCTGAAGTGGTGTGAACAAGCAACTGTGTAGTTCTTAGCTGCTTCCTGCCGTTAACCCTCAACAGAGACAATTGAAGACCCATTGTCTCCATTCCCAGTTTGTAATCTTTAAAGTTGACACACTTACCAGGTAATCCCACCAGTTATTATTGACTGGTCAGGCAAGATGTACTTCCTATCTTCTAAATAGCAGGGGCAATGAGATTTACGAACACACTCGTTCTTGTGGTTCAAGTACATTCCTTCAGGACAATGACAGCCTTCAATAGGGATGTCAGTTGGATGACATTCCAGGGCTCGGTTGGAGAGTGACAAGCATGTCCTGTCACATGCCTCAGTGTTGTAGCTGAATGTTTGATTGCCTGTACAAGTAATGGCTGTAGAACAAGACAAGGGTATATGTTAAACTTCATTTACTTATTCTCTTCCCTGTGAAAGATAATTGTGCTCCTAATGTGCTGCATATATTGTGTCAACAGCTTCAATGCTTAATGCTTCTATTGCTTCTCTTCCTGTGGATGTGGAGCTTTAGCAAAAAATATCACAGATGAGAACTTAACACCTACCATGTAGCTGTTTGGAAGTTTTGTGAAGGTTAAACATCTTACTGCTTCTTTGTGTATCTTGGAATAAAATATTGCAAAGAGAAGCTTTGCAGAAATACCAACATATTTTTGAGTAACTGTGAAAATTTGTGTCAATGTCTAAGCTGTCTAATAACAAAATCACATCTGCTAAACGGAGTTTTTCCTAGTTCTTTCTCATTTTATACAGTGTAGGTTTATTTATCTGTCTATTCTCTCACTTAATTATCAAGTCCTGGAAGCATCCACATGCTCACATCAAAGCATATGAGTAATCTTTTTCATGTAGTCTTAAAATAGCAACCCATTTCTGAAACAGACTAGAAGGATATTCAAAATTTGGTTATCTGTTATCCCATTTCTGCTTTCATCTTCTTTCTGTTCACTACTTTCCTCATTACTCTAATTATCTGCCCACTGTCTAGAACACTGCTTTACCATTTATGGTTTTTATTGTGTTATGACACATCTGTGACGTCAGCAGCTCCTGGGAATATGACTTTTATACCTGCTGGTTGGACTACTTGAGCAGTAAGTAGTTATATTCTAATGACTGACAAGTACTTTCAAAATATGTTCTTGCTCTTATTCAGTTTGGTCATAGGTGAATCAAACATGGGGATAGTCTAAATGGAAACAGATAGACCTGCATGCATGCATTCATCTGGTAGCAGACTATTAAGAGTTGGTTCAGTTACTTACTACAATTGTCCATACTGTTTCTCCAGTTCTCAAGAATTAAACCCATTGAACTGCATGTTCGTGCATATGATCCCAGAGCAGAACAAATATAGGGAAAAGTCTCTTCGTAATTACAGGCTTGGTAGACACATCTCTGAAACCCAATACATGGAGATTACTCTGTTACTGCGGAGCAGACATTTGTAGATATGATGCTTAGGGACACGGTTAGTGGTGGTCTTGGCAGCGTTAGGTTTACAGTTGGACTTAATGATCTTAAAGGTCTTTCCAAACCTAAATGACTCTATGATTCTACGATTCTATGCTGAATTGCAGAGGTAAATCATGCGAAACACATATTGCATAACTAAAACTGATGAAAAAGATCAGATAACTACCTGATTGACAGGAATAAAACATACTTAGCACCTAAAAAATGCCTTTGCTTCACTGCTTTTCATTATTATTTTTCAAAATGTTTTATGGAGATTGGCAAATATAATGAGCTCAGTTATATGGGAAAATTAATACTTTGCATAGTTAAAGTTGTTGACATGGAGAACTGAAACATGAGCAAAAATACCTTCTGATTCATAGAGGTGGGACGGGTGCCTGTGAACAAACAGACTCTTAGTGTTGTGGAGACATAAATCTCCAAACCACACTTGTTCCTTAGCTGCCATGCACTGCTGATCCAAATGAGTGGGATAGTGTATATGAGCACATTCGGGTCCATACTCGAACACCCTCTGTACAAGGGCTGTCATAATTTCCTACCTTGTAGAAAGGTATAGGGTTCACCACAGCATGGCATTTCTCGAACACTGTGCCCTTCTTGGTAAGAATGGAGCAGTGAGTCTCAGCAGATATTTCTAATGATGAAAGTAAATCACAGACATTAAACAGAGAAATTTAGGAAAAGGAAATGAAAAAATGAAAAATTAATAAATAAATAAATAAACAGAAATTTTTAAAAAAAGTGGACACACTAATCTAGCTGAACTTTTGGCAATGATGGATTGAACAAAAGGACAACTTCTTAGCTTGTTATCTTGCAGACTACATTTTTTTTTCAAATAACTCAGTAGGACTTTTTTTTTTTTTTTAAAAAAAAAAACAACAAACAAACAAACAAGCCAAGACCAATAGCAATAGCGACTTGAGAAGGCAAAGCCTGGATTTCAGTCACAGTCCTGCTGAGCAACACTGACATCCATGGACATTGCAATTTCACTGGAAGTATCACCAAACCCCTCTCATCCATCATCTCAGCCCCAGATTTCTAAAATGGGATCTGATAAGCTTTCACTAGATATGTGTTCTAGAAATCAGAGATGTCTTGGTGACAGAATTTGTGATGTTCAAACATCTCAGTCTCTGCTTCTCTCAAACTCTCTCATTCCCCTGATATGGGTTTATGGCAGTGTCAGGCAAAGCTAGCTGGAAAGATCAGTTACAAGAGGATCATCTACTTACTGTTCAGTTGACTCAAAGCACAAGGGTCAGTGTCTCTCTCTAAAGCAGGATGGCAATTCCCCGCCCTCCAGGAATCTACAAACAGGGAGGCTGTCCCTTCAGTGATATCCATGCTAGTCATGAAGTCATCTGTAGTGTCTCCATTGTAATTGCCACACAAACCTAAAAACATCAGAAATCCAAGGGATGGCTGAAAATTAAAGAATGTGTACCCAATGGCCTGTGTTTCATTCTATAATAGTGAAAAAAATGATTCAGAATTTCTACATGGAGTGTCAATGAATTCTATAGATCAAGTAGCTAGAAAATCTTAATTATGTACACAGTCACTGATCCTCTGCCTTCTCAAGTTAAGATTGTCCACTTCTATACAATGAGGCTTTTTTAGTGGCTTTAAATCATGTAAAAGAGAAAGAACATGAAACACTTTTGCTGTTACACGTTTTCTTATGTATATAAAATCTGTAATGACATATATGTAGACCTTTTTAAAAACTAAAGCCTCTCTATAATTCCCCATAGATAACTAGAATGCAGGATATGCCTTTGTGGCTAATGTCGCTGTGCAATAAGCATAAACATCTCCGTCTGGTGCTTACCACCTGAAAAGCTTTTAGATTCTTAGAATCATTGTGTTTACAGTGATCGTGCACTACGATCAAAGAATATTGTGCTCCAAGATGTAGAGACCACACAGACTGATTTGTTGCCCCTTCATTGTGTAGTAGAGCACATACTGAAACAGACACACCTGTGAAAAACAGCATTATATTACACATGAAAAATGTCACCCATCTAATTTCTTTGATTAATTTTAATGCTATTAGCAAAAATAATATCGTTTTCTAATGCAAGTATTTTTGTTGTCTTTTCTTTGAATCCAGATAAGAAAGTTTATTCCTTAAAGGTTAAGTACTAAGCTTTCAAAATTACACTACCTACATTTTCTCCTTCACAAGGGGACTCGATTTCTTACCTAGGGTTCTTCCTTTGAACTGTGATCCAACTTTCACATAGGCCTGGAACACAGGTGATGTTTGCACTACAACCTCCAGCCCAAAGGTTGTATACATTTGGATGTACATTGAAGACTGTCTGAAAATAGTGATGTTTCCTATAAGAACAAGGATATTTAGAAATAGAGATTTTGATCCATAGGATATTGCAAAGTACTGATTTTAATGCATATGGAAGTGTTCTAGCATTCTGTCTACAAGTCTTCTTCCACACACAACTCTCCACAGAGGAACAGGTGCAATGGGAAATATTTTAACCTTCCTCTCTACTGGCAATTGTAAGAGAGAAGTTGCTAGATTGTGTAAAACAGACATCTAATGTAATTTGACTTTTATGTGTATTCACTTTTTCTTTACCTGATCTGTAAGGTAGCCGCTTAAGTTCATCATCGTCAGTAAGGAGTTCATTCTGAGAAATCACAATTTTGTCCTGTAAGAAAAGGACATGGAATCAGAAGTAATTATTTGTACTGATGGTATTTATATGTTTTCTAACTTAAATAACTGTGTTGTCAGTGACCAATACAATAGGGAAAGATTGATTCAAGCTTTTCCTCACATCTTATTCCATGCTGCTTTCAGTTTTCACTTTGAAAATACTCCAACTTCCTGAGTTGATGTGGCAAGTGAGAACTTTATTGTGTATGCGTGAACTGAAACATATCTTTAGTATCTATCCCCAGTAATGTTTCAGTTCAGGCTATCAGCAATGACTTTCAATATTTTGCTAATCTGGTTACTGAAGTGCTGGATAGAACCTGTGGAGGGAGTACTTACCATCGTAGATATGTAAATTATAGCACTGAGTGATGTTTCAGAATGAGAATAACCAGATTTTTCATACACAGCCATCAGTGTTCCATTGTGTGGCAGGCTGGAACTCTGGAGGAAAATAGTGAAGAGGGAAGTTTGTGTCAGAATAACAAAGATTTCTAGAATAAATGTGTATTGTAGGAAAACCTCAGTTTCTGTTCCATTAGGAAACCAAAGGGAGACTAAAATATACCCATTTGACAGTATGAGTCTCTAGACTGTAGGAAATTACCTTCATAAGAACATAAGTGCAAACGCCATGGAACCTGTATGATCTAGAATCAAATGTGGTAATGAAAGAACCTCCTTCCAGTGAACACCTTCCAGGGCAGAGCAAGTCTTTGCAGTTCCACTGACCCATCGTACATTTGCTGAGGAAAACAAGAAATTCTGTGTAAGGTTATTCTCATACCAAGGCACTATTTACCAGCAGAGGATTTGATCCTCCTGTCTGGAGGTTTTGCTGTAGGTGATCAACATGCAAAAATTGGTTAGTGAACACAGTATAACCTACATACACATTCTGAACTGTTATTTCTGCTGGTTTGAAATGTCTTTTCTTTATGCTCTAAATAATCAGCTACTTCGTAGTAATGGAAGACGTAATTTGTACCACTTTATACTTTCTATGCTTTGATTTTCTTTGTCTATCTATACCAGTTGAAGTTGTTCATCTTAATTCAAAGTTGCTGAGCTCTTGTATGGATCATCAGTAAACTTTCCTGAATAGAGTAATCATGGAAAGTGCGTTCATTGTTACAGTTCTGGGGATCAAATTCCATTATTTATCCTTTAATTTATTTATTAGAATTATGATAAAAAGAGAAGTAGCACCAAAAATAGATTATTCCAATTAAAAAAAAAAAAAGAAATCAAAATTTTAAAAATATTGTCTTAAGTAATTATTTTATGTTGCAAACCAGAAATTTGGTTTTCAGCATTGATTTGGTGATCAGAAATGTTGAGATTGCCAGAAATAAAGTGTAAATACTGGATATTTGTTTTGTACTAATTTTATGTCCACTTTCACAAAGGAGATAAAAACGTTACTGTTTTGTGTGGCCTGAAGGAGCATATATATTTGCACAGATTAATGAAGAAATTAGACTTATACATTTTTAGTTACAAATATGTGATTTGTGCCACTCAGAGAAGGTGGCCTCAGAGATGGTATGACACATTTGCAGCTGCCTTCTGGAAAACTGATCCAAATTTTCCAATTGCTGGGTCAGGATACTCTTCATCCTCTGATGAAAGTAGCTGTTGCTGCTCACCAGGTTCTACATGCTGCTTTCATTGTCTCCCCAGGAGCATAGGTTTTGCCATTCAATGTACATGGACACTGCTTAATGTGAACACATGTTCGATTCTTCGAGATGTCATCAAGAACAGTTCCTGCCAAAGCAGATAAACAAAATATTTTCTGTGTCCTTACTTAGCACTAGAGCTTGAATGCCTTCCACAATGAGCTTGAGAATGCTATTCTTGCACAGCCAGTGCCCATACTTAGAGATATAACATGCAGGACATTTTCTCTTAATTAAAATAAAACTTGACTCTTTACAAGTGATAACACTGCTTGGCTACTTCAGTACATGAAAGTTCAGACAATTGTCTTAATTCAAAATCTGAACTTAATTTGAAATACCAGTAAGCTTCAATGATATTTGTTTGTTTTGTTTTTGCTATGACATTCCAATTAAGTTGGGAATTTTCAAGAAAGGACACATTCTATTTCCTAGAGTATTAAGTCTAGTTTTAAATATGTAGCTCACAACACATTACTTCTGACTGCTATAAAATGGTGATGATATTGATGTAAATACCCATGTCACAGTAACCTTGGAGGATATTTCGGTTCTGAGATTTCAAGAAACAATGCAAATGATAGTCATAATTATCATTTTTGTAGGAAATTAATCTTGAACAATTTTAAAGGGATTTTACAAAATGCCCATAATATTGCAAAACTTCTCTGAGGTATGCTACCTCTTGCTGGTGCCCTGAAAGGCTAGATATCTCTTTGGGATAGGAAATAAACTTACTCACTGTATGTTACTGTACAGGACTTTAGGCAGGCAGCATATAATTATCCCCTCATGTATCACAGTCTTGTGAGAAAAATGCTTTCACAGCTCTGTTCGTGCAAATAGTGACCAAAGATCTTTAAGGATCATGACTATTTGAGACTCCAGTTATATTCTGTTACCTGAGAAATGGCAGTTCTAGCAGCACAATGCCCTGAAATGCACTGCTAGTTCATTATTAAGAAGTCTGTTCCACTTGACTGGATATATGCCAAAAACATTTGTATGGGCCATTTAGGATATGATGAATACAGAAATGGTACCTTCTGGACAAAAGCAACCATAGGTACAGTGACTGGAACAGCTGTACTCTGGGTTGGAACAGGTTTTAATACACGGAGAACCGCATTCCTCGTAGATTTGGTTAGCAGAGCATTTTCCCACAGCTGCAACAAACAGTGAAAGTGTTGAGATTTTTAAAGTGTAAACATAGAATAATCTCTCATCTACCACCTAAGACGGAGAAGACCTTGTGATTTCTGACACTAATAATCTCTTATCCTGCTTCAATGCTCATTTCATCATCTCAGTATTCATCATTACCATCATATTCACTCCAGCTTTTATTAATTTTTCATTCCCTATCTATTAGAAACTCCTTTCAGAAGCTTGAAGAATGGCCAACAGGTTATATTGCAGCCTAATAAACTACCACAAATCAGATTTCCTGTAGTACTCGAAGGATTTAAAGAATATAACTCTTGATCTTCCGTATAGTCTCTGCTTTTCAGACATTATCTGCTTTTCAAAATGCAGCTACCTAGCAATTATAATATATGAAACTCAGAACATGTTTTATTGTGTAATAAATTCAAGCAGAGATTTTTTTTTCCTTATCTGGAAGAGTAAAAATATGTGAGGTAGGGAAATAAAGGTAGTTAGAGATGATGCTGACAAAGAAACAATAAAGATTAAAAAGTTAATTACCTCTGTATATTTGGTATTTTTTTGCCAATTCTTAGATTCATACCTTTGTTTTTTTTGGGGAAATAAGGGTTCCCATTCCCCTATTTTTTTAAGATTTGCCTTTTATTGCTTTACTACCAGTCCTAGTAATGGTCAACGGGCAACACGAAAACTGCTATTTCTTGAAGAAAACTAGGCTATTACTTTACTGCGATTAGTAAGAATTATTGTACAGTCCTGTGAACGCACACAGTGTCTTACTAATATTTATCTGAATCTATAAAATGCCATGAGGAGTTTACAGTTTTTAAGGATTAAACCCAATTGCAGGCCAACTGAAGAATAAAATAAATTGCTGATTTATGTAAGATGGGTAACCTTGAAGAAGAGGAGGAGAAAAATTTTTTTAGAAAGAGGTGCAATTTTAAAGTGTCAGGGATAATGAGGGAGCTTAGTAGGGAACATTTTCAGTAAGTATGATGAAAGAATGAAAGAAAACTCAATGCTAAATACAAAACAGAAAATGAAGAGTGGCACCAGTATGTGAAGATCAAGAGGAGAATAGAATACGGCACTGTAGATAGAGGGATGGCAAAATGATGCAAGGCCTCATAAGTAGCAATGGTGAGACCACAGACTATGGCAAACAATGACTTCAGGAGTATAATTCATATGGGATTTCACTATTCTTATGCTAAAATCTAAATGATAGCCAATCTTAAAGATTTTTGAAACAGAGTTAGAATAAAAGGATAAGGAGAAATATATTCCTGTCAAGCAACTTATTTTATGAATTTGCTGCCCATCACTATATATTCATATAAAGGATAAATCAAAATATGATTAAATGACATGCTTCTGATTAAATGATATGCTTAAGCAAGGTAGTTTTGAAAGCTCATCTTTTTTTGACATGAGCTGCATCTCTGGTAATTTAATGTGTGAGTTGTTTTAGAAACAACAATGACTGTTTAAGATACTTTTAATTTTTTTATGATCAGTATGTTCTCTATAAAACAATGAATCCTGCTACATAACGTTGACTATAGATTGAAGTTTCAAGTAGGTTCAAAAAGACAGCAAAAAGTGAATCAGAACTTTGATAACAAACAGGCACTTGAAAAAAAGTGTGTCCAATCATGTACAACTTGGAGAGTAATGCAAGATTTGCTTCCAATTTGCTTCCTATTTACTTCCAATGAGTAGTTGTAATTAAGAAGGTTGAGCGTCTGAAAAAGGACCACTGAAAATCTCCTGTGAATAGAAGGGGCTCTGGCAGTTGTTAGCAAAAGGTTCAAAGGTTCAAAGGTTCAAAGACTTCAGATGCCATTTAAAAGTTGTGTCTTCACTGGCTAATTTGCTAAGTACCATAACGAAAAAACTGTACTAAGAGAGAACAGCCTCCTGTCAGAAGGTAGAAATTCAAGTTTTCACTTGGTGGATATTTCTTTCTTTTATGGTCACTGATCTAGTTGTAGGAGCTACATTTCATGCTCCCTTCTTCTTATTAATGCTTTACCAAAGACCACTGTTTTTCTCTTAAGAAAATGATGTGTTTGATTTAAGACAGTAGAAATTTTTCTATCAGTTGATTTAAATTCCAGTTAATCATCATTCTCTCTGTGTGTAAGATAGAGCAAAGTACAATCTTCTGTGAATAAAACGTTTGAACTCACAGCAGAAGTTTTCAGTTCTCCAGTTGAACACCATTTGATGTGACATAGCACATTGCCTTGAATACTCTGACAGCGTAGAGCAAGTGCAGTTGTTTTGTCCTGGCTCACTGCAGTCCTGCATGTCAAGCTGGCAACGAACGACAAACCCATCCTTTGGCACACTGCAGGTTGGTGATACCAAGTTAAGAAGCTGAGAGCAGATCATGGCCTAAATAAAAAGAGAAATAAAATTGTTCCTAGTAGTGTTTCCCCCCCTATGGAAAACACATTACAGTATCACTATTATAATTTTCTTGTTTTGTTTGCCTTTTTTCCCCCTACAGTTTAGTAATATGTATTTAACTTAAAATACATGAGAAATTCATGAATAGAAGGGAATATAAATCCGTTGTATAATATTTAGAAGGATCTTGATATGTTGAAGTAATTCCACTTCTCATTGAGTTGAAAATTCAGTCATTCTTTCAGGACCCTTAAAAATGGCTGAGAACATTAAAGGCAGGCAGTATGTTGTCTCATGGAAATCCGTTCCAAAACAAACATCCTCAATGTGAAGATAGCAACAGTCATTCCCCTCTAGGCAAACATTTGATATGTTTGTATTGCCTATCATGTGGCTTACTGCAGTGTAAGGTCTCAAAGAGGAACAACATAAAAAAGTTAAACCTCCCAGCCAACAGAAGTTCTCCACCAGATCGGAGCAATTTTTCAGGGTGAATACAAGTAATATATACAACCGCCTTCTTCAGAAAAGTATCTTCCTCACAGTGCCCACAGAAACTCCTTTACTCTTGCTGCTCTTGTAAAAGAGATGCTACAAAACTAATGTTTCTCTGTTTTTCTGTTCTGGGAAAAGGAGAATCTCAGAAGGATTCTAGCTGGCTCTTTCTCTGTGGTATGAAAGCTAAACGTTTTAGCAAGGGGAATGGTTTCTATATTCAAACTAAGAAATTCTTGTGTTGCTAGAAAAATAAGATGAAGCTATTAAGGAAAAAGGAAGAAAAATCTCCTATTTCAATGAAAACTTTTTAAGCATTCTGTAATTACCAGTAACCTATATACTGTATACAAGTAAGTACATGAGAATTACTGAAGTAAGGTCATGTTCTTGTGAGGAAGAACAAACAAAACCAAAGAAAGAGCATGATCTATACAAAGTGAAATGCTTTCCAGAGGACAGCCATTAGGGTTGACATTAAGTATATGGTGATTTCTAGGTATATTTTAAGTATATGGTGACTTTATGACCTCCTAGGCAGAAAAAAGAGCAGGTTACTGAGAGAAATTGTAGAGTTTCCATCTCCTCATCCTGGAAGATCCACTCAGGAGTTGCTCAAAACCTCCTAGGACATTGGCCAGGACAACCTGCTCTTATTGACCCTGCTTGAACAGAGGGGTTGGGCTCCATGATATGAAATGATGCCTTCCAAGCTAAATCACTCAGTGATTCTGTAAAATCAGTGTGGGAATGAAAATGTGAGTTTTCCTGGTGAAACAACTTAACAGGATCATCCTAAGTAGGATTTGATTCCCATATCCACAAAATCTAAGAAATAGAAGCCCTTTTGTCCTTTGCTTCTACCAAATGGATGCATCGTGTTTCAGGTGCACTGATCTTTTCATCTAGGACTGGAAGTGGTAGGAGTTGATAGTGGTTGTCCCTGTTATGAGCCCTGTATATGGCAATATGTTTAAAGCATTGTTGAATGTCTTCAAGTCTGTATAGCTTATAATGTCAGGTCTCTAGTTGTTCAATAAAAAGTTCTTTAAAACTTGGAAACCAGTGAGATTAATTTCCTGTGCTGACCTGCATCAAATTTCGGAAAGCTGTGAGCTAAATGCTGGTAGGTTTATATGAGCAATATAAATCCAGCCTTAAAAATGCCCATGGGCCTTTTTCAAAATGCAAAGAATTCTTTTTCTTTCTCATATCATCCTATATAAATTTTGACTTTATCCATTTTCATGAAAGTAAGTTTCCACTGTCTCTCTCTGGTTCGTTTCTACCTATCTTTCCACCTCTGTTAAGAATCACGTTGCAGAAAAGCCAAGATCTTTCTTACATATTTTTTGTGAGGAACGTTGGAAGTTGGTATCTCCTCAGACAGGCAGATCTCTGATGGATCATCCATTTTTTGTAAAGCAGCAAATTTATATGTATCCAGCAATCTACCTGTAAATCGAAGGGTTATAATTTGTCAGGAAAAAGCCCACATGGATTTGTTTACTTGTTGCTGTGATGTAGCAAAACTGAGATTCTACTCTTTAACTGTGAAAGGTCCTACTAATTAATCTTCCTGATGATAACAACTATCTGTTTTGTGCTTTACCTGGAGTCTATTCACTAAAATATACTTTTATCACCTTGATCCTCTCTCTGAGTTGTTTCCTAATCTATCACATTACTACCTTACATGATACCAGCTGCTACTCTTTTCTGAGAGCTGTGTTATCTTTTGCTAGCTGTTAATTTATGCCTCTTCTCCTCATCCCTCATTCTTATATTTTCCCCTACATGGGAAAACTCATCACAACCCCAAAAATATTGTATATTTTTTAGAACTGTGATGTGTACAGAAAACTGCATCTGTCTGTGATGAGGTGAGATTAGTTTACTGTGCATTTTAATGTCTCCACAGCAGCACTGTACTTCATATTAGCAGTGTGCTTTTAAAGTAAATCTTCCAAACATCCCCACTCCATACAATCTGATTTCCAATGTGGAGTGGTCTTGTCCTACAGAGATTCTTTAAGATGAAACCAAGCCAGATATGCTCCAAGAGCATGTGTAATGAGCTCCAAGTGTTCATGGGCATGAGTTCAACACACCAGATTAGAGTGACTCTGAAGCGAACCCCCCAAACCACATATAGCACAGAGGTCAAGACCACAGCACCAACTATTTTGTTCTAAAGATTCACCCTTATTGTGACACGCTACTTGTTGATGTTGTTGTCCACTATGTCTTTTTTATTGTAACCTCATTCTTGCTTCTGCTTAATGTAATATTTTCCCTCACTCTGCCTTGCTATGTCTAGACTGTTCTGAAAGATAAGTGAGAGCAACTGTGATCCTTACCACTTTTTTTTTTTTTTCTAAAATATGAGTTCTTATCACTTGTCTGAGGAGTACACAATATTATCATAGCAAATAGTAGTGTGCATAATCATACAACAGGTGTGTGGGTGACCTATGGACGTGCTTTACTCAATTCTGAAACTGAGTGAGCAATGTTAGTACCGTATTAAATGTCCACCTTGACTCAGTTTAACTAGCTCTCCTTCCATTGACCTGTCCTTTGATCTTACCTTCACTCACAAATTCATTCAATTCATAACCATCATAATTTCCACACATTCCACAGGTTTTCCCCATATACTTTTTTTCAGCCAAAACCTAAAATAAAATAAAACAAAAGATTTAAAAGGATCACCCTACATAAAATTATCAATACAGCATCACCTTTCTCAAACAAATTCAGTTTAAGAATCCAGTTAAAGGTGATCCTTCTCATTAATTTCACTGATTTGGCTGGAGGAAAAGTTTTGGAAGCAATAACTTCTTTTCCCAATAGGCAGATAGTGATCCTTGTGATTTTTTTGATATAATAAAAGAATAAGATTCTAAGACTTTTGCAAAGAATTTAGGGAGGGATAATATTCTACAGAGCAAGAAAAAATAGAAAAGGAAATGATGGTGTTTCCTTGATCATTGTTGACAGAGCACAAGGTTCAGGTTTGTTCTCTTAAGAAATTGAAGGTTACAGGAAGAAAACACTTTTTTCAGAAGAAGGTTCTTCAGTTATCTATTGCTCTGGAAAGTAAAGTGGTAATATTACTACTGGCTACAATCAATGATTTGTTATGAAAACTGTAGATCAGAGGAAATAATCTGACTATATGAAGAATATAGTGTGCACCCATCACAGTAGCATTTCCTGTTATATGTGTGATAGCAATGCTGGTAAATCTCCCAGACAATTTATTACGTAACAATCTCCCTGTTTTAGCAAACTTACCAATTTAGAATTCAGTTTCTTTTATGGCATTAATATCACAGGTCACGCTGAGAAAATGTATCCTCTTCTCTAAAATATCAGGGATTTTGGAGGGGCAACGTGAAAAGGTTCAGAAAAAGGAAAGAAAGAAAGAAAGAAAGAAAGGAGCTGATAGGAGCACCATGTGTTTGAAACCAAAAGATGTCCAGGGGAAGCAGAGTAAAAATGACAAAACTATGGCATGCACTATTAAATTCTACACAACTTTGAACAACTTCAACATCCCTTTAGCAAAATGTTGTAGCTGCTGGAATAGCCTGAGGAAAATTTAAAGTCTGTGAAAGCATCCACAAAGCTCAGCATTGGTGACTTTAATTAGCTGCCAATGCTGGAAGTGGAAGGAACATGAAGGTATTAAAAGCAAAGTTGTGCATTTCAAAAGGAATGGATGAAGCAGGAAAAGAATACATATTCAAATAGTAAACACACGCAAAAAGCCCCCATTAAGTCTAATGAGAACTTGTCATTCCAGTAAGTCAGTGAGAATTTTCTCCTCTGCTTTACAAGAATATTTGACCAACCATGAGATAGTCATCATTGTTCCACATGACAGCTAGCTCCATCTCCATCAGCTTGGCCACCAGACGGATGTTGCGTCCAAAAGGTGCTATTTGAATTCCATTGCTGGTGTAAGGCAAGTTAATGACACTGTAACAAATTGAGACGAGAAAATGACCTTTTCATGCCAATATCATGCAGGTATTAGTTATCTTTTTTAGTTATAATACACATACAGTCTGAGTACTTGCAGCACCATGAAATAGAATTTTTTTTCCTTTCTAACTAACATTTCAAGATACGTTAAAATTTCTGTTGGTTTAAAGTCAATGTCTGTGGTTTCATAGAAAAATCACCCGGAGATGGTTGCATAGTGAAAATGTTTGCACAGGACTGGGCATCTTCACTTGGTTTGGTTTTATTAGGGTGTAGCTTATGTGTTTCCAGAACTTGTAATTATACAGTTTGCGTGGTAGGACTATTGTGGATTATCCTGAAGAGTTTCTATGGAGTACAGCCTGTTAATATGGGCTGTAAATTAAAGGGACAAAGTTAGAGAAATCCATAACCAGAGTGTTGTAGCAGAATTAGGTTTTCATCCTTGAGCTGAATTCTAATGCTACAAACTAACAATGTGAAAGAACCAATATCTTTTGCTACCTACTCAGTAACTATGTGATATAATGATAGAGAAGTTGGTTGGAAGGGACCTTCTGAAGTTGCCTAGGCCAGCCTTCCACTTTAATCGGGGCTATGTGCAGCACTAGAGCCGGTCAGTCATGGCATTTGGTTCTTGTGAATGTAGGACAAAAATTTAAAACGCAGATCATTGGGTTAGGCCCATAGACTTACATAGCTTTCCTGGAATATAAATTAATAAAGGAAGTTTTTCTAAATACAGTTTGCTAATTCAAGGTACAGCTGCCAGTTGTCTTCTTGTTATGATGGTTATTGTACCCAGGTAAATATAATCAGATACAGATAATCCACAGTCAATTATTTCTCATATCTGCATGTACTCGCAGACAAAAATTCAACACTGTCTATCTGATAAAAATGCTTAAAACTTCCCTGGAGGAAGAAATTTCCTTGTATGGGAGCAATTTGTCTAGAAGAATGAATGATGCTGAACCCAACGTTTCCCATCAGTGTAATTCCTCAGTAAAACAGCTGTTTTCTGGACATACTTGGAATAATGTGAACAGTCAGTGGTGTCATACACAAAGACTTCTTTGTAAGCCTCTCCAATACTTCTCTGTTGGCTGTATAGACCAAAGTTTCTCCTATAGCCTATATATGTGTTATCTTTAGCACAGAGGTTCAGAGCTATCTAACTCTGAAATCAAAATCTAAGCAAAACACAGGAATTTCAGCTAATATCTACTAAAGAGTATAAGCCATTTCATCTGTGCTTGTAACAGAGATAAGCATAAGCAGATTAGTAGTTTCTAGGAGATATTGTTTCAATGTGAGAACTGGTTTAGTCTGAGAAGGTTGTTTTATCCCTTTGCCTACCCAAATGTGCCCTAAGCTTGTTTCAAATAGCTTCAAATTAAATACTCATCTAGAAAGTGTGAATGCTTGATAGGAAGAAATGGGAGTAGAGTCCAGTTAGGTGTGCTAACCTCTGTAATTTGTTAATTAATCTTTGATATAACCTAGTCTTCTTTAATGCAACTGTTACATAAATCCTTGCCTTCTTTAAACACATTTTACCCCTTCATGCCATAATCTTACCCAACATTCCTGACAAAAATGCTGCCTTTCTCAACAATGATAACAGAAGGTCCCAGCTCAATAATGATCCTTGCAATTTTTTTGTCCAGCCCACGCCGGAACTGAATGTTGAAGTCTGGGGTGCTTTCATCACATACAGTTGCAAAGATATAGTTGCAAGTCCCGGTGAAGTCATACTGGTACTTATCAAAGGTTGAAAAATGCCCTCCACCCCAGGTAGAACAGGAATCCTTGCTCAAAACTATAAAAATGAAAGAGAAAAAAAACGGATTTAGGTCTCCTAACAGCATGTTTGCTCATTCTGATTGCCATTTCAAATATAAATAGCAGGAAAAGCTAGTAAAGTTTCTACTCAGATTAATTATGTAAACAGCATCCTAACCATTTATTTTTGGTAACCTCAAAATTTTATCTCATCAGGAAAGTGAAACAATAATTGTAGTCAGAGCAATTTACTGTAATTTACTGTAAGCAGAGGAGAGCTAGCTTGGGAAACACTCTCCCATCTTCTTTTTGGTTAATATAAAGGTTTACCTTCTTATTTCAGTCAGCTCAATCTGTTTGCAAAAATGACAGCTTGCTACTGGAGAGACTTTTAACACCACAGTCTTCAAAGCCCAACTTGTAAAAGTCCCCACTTTTTTTGGCTCTGTTTTTGTGTGACAAAATTCCAGCCAGCTTTGTAATTATATGGAGTCTTTTGATCAGTTTTCATTTTTAGAAAGTAATCGCTTTTCATCTGAATGGATGGATTTTAGGAGGTTGAAATGAATCATAAAGAAAAGAGATACAACTCCAGCACTTGATATTAGATATTTCTATACCTACTTAAAGCATTTGAACAGTCCCTCTGAAGCTGATGGAACCACTGAAGTAAAATCATGTCCTTGCTTATATACTTCCAGACTCAGATCGTTACTTTGAATTTTAAAATTATTTTTGCTTATGGAGTATGAAGCTTGGGTGTCTTAGAATATATCTCAGAAGCACAAAGTATCAGGTAAGTTTAGCAAAGTCTACCTGAAATTTATATTCACTGCTTTAAAGCCACAACATTTTTTACTCTTAAAGAGTGACCAAATGACTACAGAATTCTTCTGGTTTTATTCAGGTCATGTAGACAATACGGTTTCCCAATGAGGTGTTACCTGTTGGCAAAAAGCACTCCTCTTCCATACTTCTGTGCTGTCCAGAACATCTGACCGGAAAGTAGGAATCAGCTAATTGTTATAATTGATCCTTCATGCCCATTTCTGTCTAGTTTAATATGTTGTGCTTAAGTGACACTGACCAGAAAACCCCAGCTCTTTCAGGAATGATCGCCTGGGGTCACAAAAAGATCAGAGTGCAATAGGTGTCCCTTTCTATAAATATGTGAGTGTCTTCAGTGTATTTGTTTTTATCTAAAGCTTATCAGAGAAAAATAACAAATGGGAATGTCAGTAAATCAATAAATTTAAACCTAGATTATATATTTGACTTTTCAATTCAGTTTTTAGTAAGTCATATATCGTAATTTTCTTTTAATTTGTGTATATCCATGCCCTACTGTTCCTCTTGGTGCAAGGACAGAAAACAGAGATGCATTGCTGAATTAATTTTTTTTTTTTTGGCTGATCACGGGTACTCAACTATTTTTACATTTAGGATGAACTTCATGTAGCTTTTTGATGCTTATGTTAAATGAGAATTCACCTAATTCAAACCCCTCTCTGCTTCTCCTGCCTAAAGAAATTGTAATAAATTTGTTTTTTGTGTAATTCTTTTTGTTCTACACCTCTGCATTTTCCCCAGACTGGGTTAAGAATTTCACTGTCAACCACTGAAATGCAACTTCTGGAGTACATAGAGTTGCCTTTTGCCAGTATGCAACAGTAAAGCACGGTATTTTAATGGAAAACATGAAGATTATGGATTGCTAGGAAGGATGTCTGTAAATAGAATATGATAGAAAAATTGTTCAGAATACTAGGACTGATAGCCATATTTATTTTAGAAAGGATCTAGCAAAACCTGTGCGTTTTCAGAAGGTTTATAGCCTTCTGTATCCTGTTTTAGTGGAAAAACACATCTTGTAAAATACAGTATACCGTGTTAGCATATGACATCTATTCATTCTTGTCATGGATGTGGAAAATTACATGTTTAATGAATGAAATTTAAATTGAAAAATCAATGCATCACATTTCTTCAAAAAAGAACATGTAAAAAGTTGTGTTGGTTCTGACCAAGGGTTGAGGTAGCTGGTTTTTTATTTCCAGCAGTGATGATTAAAGGACTGCCCAAGGGAAGAGCACCATCCGGTCAAGCACATATACTTCCCCAGATACTCTCTCAGTCTCCAAGTATTTTCAATCCAGGGGACTCTGTGAGGTTATTGGGATTTGTCTGCTTACCTCCACTGTGTTCTGTCTTCCGAGTACCTGTCCAGCCTCCTTTTGAACTAAAGTGAAATTTCTTTGTAACAGAAAATACCACAATCACAGCTGTCAAAAGTTACCCTTTTAATTATGAGTTAACAGTTTAATGATACCCGCCTTTCTAACAGTCCTTCTGGTAGCTAATATTTCTAGTACTTTAAAGCTATAACATGTTAATTGTTTCATGCTTTGGCATCATACACATTTTTATGCAAGTAAGATAGTAGTATCTTAATAACTTTTGTATTTTGCAGACTCAGAAGGACTAGCACAAATTTGCAGTAAGTAGGTGGCTGGAGTTAATTTTGCTTCCAGATTTGGGTTCATGCTCACAAGCCATTCTTAGTAGGAGGAAAAATTCTGGGAAACTACCAAAATTGTGGCAACAGTAGCTTCAGCTGGCACAGCCAGATGTTAAAGCTGAGACCTGACCATACCCTGACTCCTCACTGACTGCTGGCTATAAAGGTGAGGAAGAACTGTTCCATATTCTGGTCTTTCACTTGCACATAAAGTTCCTTTAACCTGTAGTTTTTAAAATAATCTCATAGATGTAGCCTCCATGGAGAACCAGCTTTATTTCATTTCCTGGATTTTGTAGCATCAAAAAAAAAATCCATTTCCTAAATTCTTAGATATTATTAGGAAGTAATCTGCAGGAATGAAAATCAAACAGATCTCACACGTTACCTCAACAGCAAATTTCTAAGTGTGGAAGGCTACTAAACTGCTCACAGTTTCTATCCTTAGGCATCAAAACCTCAGCGTGGCACATTAAAGCACATTTGGGTTAGTGTAAAACTTACCAGAGTGAGACAACGTATATTACCATCTTTATATAGGCAAACTCTACATTCAGAATTTCTAAAACTATTGCTTTAAAACATCTGCTCCTTGAGGCAAGAATTTATTTTTATTATGTGCTTTGTACAGTCTTCTGCAATATATAACTGGTGCTGAATGGAGCTGTTACTCATAGCTGTAACATGAACATGAAATACCAGGTCAGGCACTTACTTCTTTGCAGAGATTCTTTCTGTTTTTGGAGAAAAAAGTGGGGCAAATAATTTCCTTCAAAAGCTATGAAAGGAAAAAGACAAGAGGAAGAAGTTATCCTCTGAGCACAAGGAAGCTGAATATTTGTATATTTATTTGATTCTATTTAAACATAATACAAGTCAAAGCAGGGTCAACACAAACGAGTTGTGTCCTGCCACACAAAACTGAACCAAAATCATAGTGGAAACCCACGTAATTCAGCTTGTAATAAAAAATTCTTCTACAACTGGTAAAATATAAAAATACCTGCCAGATATTATTTTATATAAAAAAATATAAAAAAACCTGCCAGAAATCCTATACAATGTGGGATTTTCTGTACTTCATCCTCAACTCAATCCTATGTTCCTTGTTAAAAAAGATGTGGAATAAATCTTTCTTCATGTTTTTGAATTCTTATTCCACCATCTGGGTAGAAGCAGTGGAGGGAACATCAAAACTGGGAAAATATGGGCAAAGTAACGTCTCATGTGTTCTTTACAAGAATCATGGGTTCTGTAGCTGAAGAGTGGGAAATCCCCAGGCCTGGTTGTTGCTTTTGCTGTTCACATTATTGCAGAATGTTGAAAGCTGTTACCTGCTTCCTTTCACACACCTCTTCACAAAGCCTGTTCTGGTCATGAGGAGCCAAGGAATGTTTAGCAAATGTGGAGTGGGGTACAGTACGGTCCCTCTTCCATCGCAAACCCAGACCTATGACATGTGCACAACTGCACCGTGTCCTCACACGTACCCAAAGGGTCTTTTGCCCAGCAGCTTGCTTCCTGCCCGAAGGGCGAAGGAAGTAAGATGGGTGTTGGAAAGGGCCACCGCAGCCAACCCACAGGCGGTGAGCCCTGTGCAGGGACAGAGGTGGCGCGTGCCTGGACTGAGCTTTCATTGAGCCAATAGCTGGGTGGTAACAACCAAAGCAGGCTCTGAGAAAAAGGACCCGGGGTGCTTCAGAAATGTGCTACTCATTTTTAAAGTCTGTCAGGTCCCGTATTTTTTAGATAGCAGGAGCAAATATCCTATAGAAACCCTATAATTCTATATTATATGTTTAGGATCTTCTGTTACAGAGAAAATGTTATGGCAGAAGGTTTCTGTAATCACATAAACTAGTCCAAGTCTACAGATGTATCTATATATACACTACAGCCCTGCAGGCTTCTGTTGCTGCCTTATAAGAGAGTAAAAGCCTCTAGGGAGCTCACCAGCTGTAATAGACTCTCCAGCCAATTCCATGCTGTGCTGCTGAATGTCAGGTAATATTTATCATGTGGTATCTCAAGGACTGTAGGAAAACAGGTGAAGTTCTGCCTTGTATGCGAGGCTCAATTAAGCCACAAAAAGGCAGTTTGGAGACTAAGAGCTTCAGCACATGTCTTTGCTTTGTATCTGAGATCCAGATGTCTCCAACTTCCCCATCAGTCTATGCCTCAGTTTTTCTCTGAAGTAATACTTATTGAAAAAGATGTTATCTGGATAAACTAACCTAAGATTTTAAGAGCCAAAATACAACACTGGTAAAATTGTATACCATGAATATCTAGACAGAAAGGAAATAAATCAAGGATGTAAGTTCAGTGACAGACACGCTCCCACCCCAACTGTTGTTCTAGTACCTTTAAATGCCATTCATCTCAGCCAGTGTTCTAGACTGTTCTCACAGGCTGTGAAAGCAAATATAAATTTGCTGAGACAGTTTGACTTGAAACATATGTGTCTAACATGGAACAAATGGACTATACATAAAAGTTTTATTTCTCTTCCTTGGTGTAAAGGAAACCTTAGGTGACTATCTGCAAGGTAAACATCAAGGCACAAGTTCAGGTAGATGTATTCCCTCCATCCCTCTTCCTAGATACTGTGTCCATTTCAATGAGACAGTGCTCTACAAACAAAAAAATGAAACGAGTACAATGTAACATATTTTTTCTAAACTGGAGTAAATTACCAGCATAATAACTTCTTGATAAACCAAACAGGAACATTTCCACAAGAAAGAAACAGCACAAAGTGATCTCATTAGCTGTTGAGTTGCAAGCTGCTGTACTCACTGCATGGCCAACACTTCCACTTTTACAGTTGTCTGGCACATTCATCAGAAAATCATTGTATATCTCACTCACGGTGACTTGCCCTCTATAATTTGTCAGCACTGGCCAATAATTGTTTGAAACATTGCCAGTGTTTCAGTACAACCCCCATGGTCAGCCTGCAACTCAGCAGGCATGTCCAGAATACAGCATGCTTCTTCCTCTCCTTCCAAGTCCTTAGTGAACCATGTACCACAGTAAGTACACCACAAAAAGTAATAAAGTCAGTTTGTGTGTCTATGAGCTAACACTCTTTACACCTAGAGCTCCTGCTGCCTTTTTTTGAACCCCTTGATTTTGGTATCTCCATTTGTTCAATCATTTATTACTGCTGGTTTAATAGTTTTGCAATTGCTACAGTTTAATCCCAAACTACAAACACTACATTAATGGGATTTAACAGTGTGTAACAGCTGCCTTCAGAAGATATTAAATTTGCAGGAATTGAAGATATGCCTAAGACATTATTTCAAGTGATACCGATCTAGAGAGCTTGATGTAGAACAAAAAGTCCAATATATTATGGACAAATATTTTAGATCAGAACAGACAGTTTGGTTTACAAAGCTTATTTGTAAGCTTTTCAAACTCAAAATTCACAAGTCTAAGCATGCCAAACAGTGACAAAATGTTACAAATACTCTGGGTTTGATATTTAGATGAAAAAAATTCTAATTTAATAATCATCCTGGATTACATGGAGATGTGCAAGAGTTATATTGAAAATAAATAAAGTTATTAAATCCATTTTAACATTTTGCTTAAAGAATAGCTAGTAAAACAACTACAGAGACATTTGCTGACTATCTGCCAATCAGTCTGTATCGTGTCAGATCAAACTATTAAACTAGTTACAGTACAGTAATTATTCTCAGCATTTACATTCTTTTTCTCACCCTTAACTCAGAAGAGATTAGTAAAATCAGCCTGGCCGTGTTATTAACCATTCACAGCCACATGAAACAACAGATTGTATAGATGCAGCAAGTGCTATGGCCCCATGTAGAAGTTGTATCTACCAACTATTTAGGAATTTTCATTGGAAAGGCTGTGCTAGTGGTAAATGAGATTTCTAAACTACTGAAATCTTCCTTACAGACATTGTACTATTACTGCAAGTATTCTCTTTTCCCTTGAGAAATGGATTGATTCTGAGCTGACATGAAATACTTAAATTTGAAATAGCTCAAAAGAACTTTAAACAGACTTTCACTTTTCTTAGATAAAAGAAGTTTTACTTTCAATTCCCACTCTACTCTAGCTGGCCCGACTTCCTTGAGAATTATATCTGTCAAAGTGCAGTTTCTGTGTGGTCGATCTGTCTAGTTCATGACAGCAATACAATCCAAACAAGAAACATGATTTACTGTGAAGGAATAAGTAGTTCTGTTCCTGTACTACTGTTACTATGAGACATCCCTATTGGAAAATAAAAATTTATGATGTAATGACTTCAGTCAAAGTATTTCACAGCAGCTAAATGAATGAAAACATTTCCATTTGATGAAAAACATTGAACTGGGATATTTTGGTGCTTCCAAACAGAAATAATTTAGGATTTCTGTTCTGTAAAGGGTTCAGGTTTTATCTTCCCGGTTCAGTTTCTATCTTCTAATTTGGGACAAAAAGAAATGATGAAATCTTAGAAGTTCTGGAAAAGAGCTTTAAAATGTTATATAAGCCTAAAATGAAACTTAACAGAAAGGGTAGTACTAGAATCATAGCTGTAATACTAGTTATCGCATATTCATGATGATTTCTCTTCAATATGAAATTATGAACTACCTTTGTCTCTTGCAAAAAAAAGATGGCTCTACCACATAAATCAAGGTGACTCCTTAGTTACATAGCAAAAAGAAATAACATCTCTTAAGGATCCATGAACAGTTTTGACTATTGTAATACCTACAGTGGGGAAGCCTCAGTTTAATCAATGCATCAGCATCTCAGTTTACTAAGGGAAAGCTGTAACACTTTTAATCTTGTCTTAAAATTCTGTAGCTTTTTTAAAACGGGCTCATGCATGTTTACTGCTTTTCATGAGTTATCAAGGGAAAGAGGAAGTGGGTCTTCCCGTTTCCGTCAGAATTCACATCAAATATATGTCCTTACAATGAATATTAACATATCTACTTAGAGACAAGCTCAAGGTACAGAATTTGGATGCAGAATCACAAAGAGGGCAATTGGAGTCCTTGCTTTGATTTAACTCATTGTAAAGAGACAAGACTTGGATCTAGATTTCAAAACAACCAGCATACTGCATGTTGGCCAGTTTTAGAACATACGGATCAACCTTTCATGGTTCAGATATGCCTCCAAAAATTGTCTGATTTTAAAATCTTACTTGACAGAATGATATCTCTGTTTTGATAGTCTCCAACTTTGCATGGCATTTCAAGGCCCCAAAATGCTGATACATCCCAAAGTGGGAAGACTGCTCTATAAGAATTTTCTAGACCCTAATTTTATGCTTTTATGTTTACCTTCAACTGAAGTTCAATCTTAGACAACACAGTCTTTTACAGATGAAGCCCTATTTGTAATTGCCAAGTTCATACATAAGACTTGTGGCTGTGCAGGGGTCAACAGTAATTTTACATTTGATTATGAATATTAGTATTTATAGTAATATATCTAGTCATATAACATGTGAAGTCATGTAGATTAAGAACTTGCAGGCATCTATTTATGGTTAGGACCTGTGTTCAGGTATTTGTCTTGATCTTGGTTACAATGGTGCTAACACAGTGAATGGAGTTGTATCTGATTTATAACAATATAGGTGAGATTAGAAATTGGCTCAGAGAGTCTACAAAAGGGTTGAGTTCCTTAGATTTTAATTTTTTTTAGTGCTACAGTTTGTCAGTGATTTAAGAGTAATACATGTCCTCATGCAATTTGAGCTATATGGTTCATTGAATGTAGTAAACACAATACAGAAGAAATAAATTGAACCTTGTTCAAACTAAAGCAAGTGGAAATGCTTTTTAGCAGCTTGTAACCTGTTCTTGAAATCAGAACTGTAACAATTGATAATTACAGAGAATATACAGAGATAAAAGGAAACCATTATCTTAAGCAATGCCAAACCATGGCAAAAAAAGGCTCACTCTCAAAGAACCCATTGAAAACACTACAGGAAGAGGAATGAGTAAGAAGACCGAGTAGATATAGAGTCAATGAACTTACTTGTCAAATCTTTTTAAAAAATTACAGTCACCTGATATTAAGATGGGTTGGATAAAAAGTAAGACACAGCCCTTTAAAAGACTAAAGAATTCTATTGAATAATATATGGAGTAATACTTTAAAAGTCATGTAGAATTTTTAGACTGGAATCATTTGCCTGTTTTCCAGCATAGGATTCTTTCTATGATGTCATTCTTAAAAAAGAAATAATGCCACCAAATAGGTTATACTTAATAGGTTTTGCAGTTTGCATAACAAAGGAAAAAAGTTTCTATAACCACTCTACACAGAAGTAGACAAACTCTACACTGAAGTATACAACATCACTAGAGCACTGCATCATGAACATATGAAAGATGAAGGCACTTAGCTGCTTGGAAACACAACATAAGTCCATTAAAAAATTATTCCCTGTATCTAGGGAACCGGTTTCAGGGAATGATCCAACAAATCAATGTCCATATTTCTAAAAGAAGCTTAAGAACAAATAGTTCTATTTCAGTCATGTAGTCATTAAACGTGCAGCTGTGTTTTAAGATGCAGTGTGGGAGAAGAAAATGTGTAAACTTCATCCTGGTGGATGTGGGAAAGGAGAGCAAGACATGTGTTTTAATATTAAAATGGAGTCACCCACTTTGTTTCAGTACATGTGTATTTTCCTTCAAATCATGTACCAAGAAAAGACAGGCATCTTCGACTTACCGGCAGATTGCAGGAAACTGCAGAAGATGAGCAGTGCTACTGTCGGAAACATGATGCATGCCCTCACTGGAGAGGTTTTTTCGATACTCTCTGTTCCAAATGGGCAGTGGTGCTGCTGCCACTTCCCAGGCTTCCCTCTTCAAGCTTGGATGCTTTATATATAGAATTGCAATGCCCTCCCTCATTCCCATGGCTTTCAGAAATTGCAACAGCAGAGTACCCGCCAAACAGGATCTCCTCTTTATCAAGTTTAACACACCTAAATGGCATTTAGAAAGAAAAGAAAAAAAAAAAAGAAAACACAAACCTTCTTCCTCTTTCATTATCATTCTTACAAGGTTTTTATAATGGCTTCTATTTGTAACAACTCAAACACCTTTAACTTCATTGACTGAACAAATTTGGTATTATACACAAAAGCAATATGCATAAAGATAAATAATACACAAATTATGATCATTATTTGATAAGGAGAGAAATAATATTGGACCAGTACACAAAGTGGAAGAATGAAGTTTTGGAACTGCTGGAAAGAATCTGTGGATAAAAGATGATAAGGCATGGATGATAAAAGATATAGATCTCAGATTTTTTAATTAAATCTTCTTTGATTAACTTTTATTTGCTCTCCCAAGTGATTGAGTTAATCTCTCCCTTGTGTGACTTTTTAAACAAAATGATAAACGTTGACTCAGTAAAAAGGGCTGTCTATGGTACAGCTTCTCTCCTGAGTTCGCAAAGGATCTAAGTTAGACCTTGCCTACCACCTTATCACTGCCGAGGGCACAGGGCAACCTGTCTTACAGAATGGGAAAGGCTATTGCACTGTGGTGTTTTGGCAACTCTGACAAGCTCCCACCAACATCCCAGAAGATCAGTTCCAGTTCTGTCACAGCACATTCTTGAATCAGAGGTAAAATGCTGACTGCACTGTATCACTGACACCACCAAACTGGCACAACACAAGAAGAGCTTTGCTTGCTCCATCCTGTCATTTTTCACTAGCACAGGAATTACTTCAGGGAAAAATAGTCTAATTAGAAGGCATCTTTCTCCATAAAATATAAAAGTTATGGATGACCTTTCCATATGAATGCCTTCAACTTTTCCTGTTTCAGCTATGCAATACTTACTTTATATAATTCATTACTTTCCTGAATTCCCATTGTTTTGTCCTTCTCTGGTGTTGTTCCTTTGCTTAAAAACTGGCTCCTCACCATGTTCTCAGAGTTATCCCTTCTGGGTGGTGGGGAGAAACACAGGAGAGACAGTAACCAACCTTTAATGTAGTTTCAACTCTGGCTCAACCTAATTGTAATTAAAATAAACCCATCAAATTTTAATTGAAATGAAGGTCTGACTTATTTTTGTTGCCTTATCTTTGGGTTGGCACAAATAAGTTTCTTCCTGCTTGGCAGAACAGTGTTAACCATATGCCACTTAGGAAGTGTAAAGGACCAGTGCCATGGTAGTGGGAGCTAATAATGGAAGTGGGGAATAGAAGAGATTGAACAGTAGCTCCCTACCCTAAAGTAAAAGTCACTTTGCTGTGCAACTCAAGGGAAGGCAGAGAAACAAATTATTGCAAATAATTAATAGCATTTTAGGCCTTGCAGGATAATCTCACCTTAAAACAGAAACAGACTCATCCCACGATTCCAGAGCTAGAAATCCAACCTAAGCTCTGTAGGAGACCTCTAGGTCTGAACCTTCTACAAAATGCTGTTTACCATCTCTGGCTACCTTGGAAGTATCTCTGCCTTGGTCAAGAGACATCAACTTTTTGCCTCCTAGTGATTCCAGTCCTTCTGCCTGGCCCTTGGGCAGAGCACCTGTGCAGTGGGCAGTAGCAGAGTGCCTAATATTTTTACATGGTCCAGAATTAAGGCAGACTGTGGCACATGAAAGGGATGAGGAGAGAGCTGAGGGACGATTGCTGGGATTTCAGCCATAAGTCATGTCCTCAGCATGAAGATCACTAGAATAAAGAGCAATTAGTTTTAACTATTTGAACACTAATGGTTACTGACATTAGTAATGATTCTCTTTAAGGAACGACTTTTGTTACACTTACTGAAGAACACAGAGACAATTGACAGGAGACATCCAAAGACATCAGAACAACTTAATATAATTCCTGAAGTGTCTTGAATGTTGGAGATGCTAGTTTTTTGAACAATACCTAAGGAATCTAAGTACTCCACTAAACCACAGAAAGAGATTTCTAGGAGTTAGGCTTTTCCAGTACCAAACAGAAGGTTAGCAACATTTATTTGAAAGTAACTGTTTAGAACTAATTGCAATATTTGACATACAAGGTGGGATCTTGGTAATTCCCCTAAGGGAAGCTCCCAGGAAGCTAGAAGCCAGTCAGCCTTGCCTCAATACCTGTGAGGGTGATGGAGCAGCTAATCCTGGAAGCCATTTCCAGGCATATGAAGGACAAAGAAGTCCTTACATGTAGTCAGCAT